TCATTCCCTATCAATTAGAACCTGATCTGAATTTGCAATTATCATGTCTATGCATTGTTTGTGAACTCATGGCTACCATATACATACTTGGATCATCTTATTCATTTCATCACCCTCTGTTAATCCAAGTAGTTGTCTTTCATTTTTAGAGCAGTTTCCCATACCCTTAGCCTAGCCTTATTTCAAGCCAAAGATCATTTGTGTGTGATTGTGAGGCCTTTTTCGATTGAGGTTGGTATAACGCGTTAGGTATGAACCGACAAGAGCAGTCTTTCATCTAGACCTAGCCCACGCTTTTTGGGTTAGCTAGGACTAGGTGGAGACTTGTATTTGGGATTGGGAATGTGTATGGAATGAATGGGAATGAGAGTGAGAATGAGAATGAAAAGAAAAAAAAAAAGAAAAAAAAGAGTAAGACTTTAGAGTTCTAAGGGGGATACAAAAGTGTTAAGTCTAGTAAAGGGTTTGGAATTCAAAGAAGTTAGGCATTGTGATTCAAAGAAAAGGGTAAATCGCCCTATGTGCTAAGATTAGAATAAAAGCCTTAAGTTTGTCAAAGTATAAAACCAAACCCGCTAGACTCTTAAATCGTTTCAAAGAGAACCCCTTAGAACTTGAACCAAAAAGAGAGAAAGAATGAGAAAAAGGGTAGAGTTAGGACATCTATGGGACTAGGATCATCTTATGAGCTATCATACTATATCATTGGGTAGATGGGAGTCTGTTCTTATATGTGTCCGTTGGCTTTTACCTTTAGCATTCTACCGAAGCTCAATCTTTTCTCTGAGAGTCCCCTGTTACTCGACCAAACCATTAGAGGGACCATGTTTGTCTCTTAGCCTAAGCCCGAAACCAAGTGAATTCATAACCATTGCATTGCTTGATCCACAGTTCGTGCTTAATGAATGTTAAAGGGAATTCGTTGATGTGAATGCTTGAATAGATTAAGGCAAGTTGTTAGGTTGCATTGTGACGAGTATGGCTAACGTTTTTAAGTAAGGGTGTATCATTTTTCAACCTAGAATTAGCTACCTGGACATTGAGCTTACCCGTTTTATATGCATGCTTCGGTTTTTGAATCCCCACCTTCAAACCTCTCCTTCAACTTAAGCTTTTTTGTTTGCTTGAGGGCAAGCAAGAGATAAGTTTGGGGGAGTTGATAACACTGTATTTTACTCATTTTAGGTATGTGTTTATCATCATTTAGCTTTGCATTTGCTCATTGTATCATGTCATTTTGCACCATTTTAGCTTATTTTGCATACTTAGGCATCTAGGATCGTCTTGCATTCGCATTGCATGTTTTGATGTGTTTTCGGGTGCAGAAGGAGCTAAAAAGGACTCTACTCGATCCATTCACTCGATCCAGGCAGCTATAGAAGAGGCATCGTTTCACTCGGCCCTCTTACTCGATCTAGAATGCTACAGAGGAGGCTGCAGTTCACTCGACCCTCTTACTCCATCAAGGCAACCTTAGATGAAGCAGCAGATTAATCTACTCGCCCCTCCTACCTGATCCACTACTTGATCCATTTACTCGACCAAGGGTGACCAACTCTACAAGACTTTTTGAGCTATCAAAGCGTCTTCGGATCCTCCTCATTCCCCACTCAACCAGAGATATGAGCATATGGATAGGAGAGGAAGAAGCATCTACTCGACCAATTGATCACTCGGAGCATAGACACAAAGGCGCAGACTTTGCAGCACCCTCTTTACTCGATCCCCAAGATCGAGTATTTGCCCAAACCGCCTCAAGTCTCTTGTCTTCTAGTGAATCTTTGGTTTCAACATTTTACTATAAATAGATCACTTTGGCGTTTGTCCAAAGGATCTATGCTTTATCTTTCAGTTTTTCTTTGTGTTTATGGATCTTAAAACCTTAGTTACTCTTAGTCTATTTCGTTTGATTGTGATAGTAGGTTTTTAAGATCAATTATTCCAAGACACTATCCTGTCATTGTAGTATTTTAGGTGTCAATCCAAATGGGTGTGATGCAGACAGATGCGATATGATCAGAAGTTGCTAAGTCAAGCCAAACAGAATTTGGTTGGTTTTCTAACAGTCCTAGTGTTGATGCAGAAAACAGTAAAAAGTCACAGAAATGACTGATATACTCGATCGTAGGGTCGACTGCCAGAAGGGACCCCATGATCGAGTACAACAGGATGACAGAGAGTGAAAATGCAGAAATGGACCAGTTTACTCTATCACGCAGTCTCACTGTTAGTAGACTGATATGATCGAGTAGAATGGTTGAAAACAGAAAATACTAAAATTCAATAGCAAGTGAATGAAGCAGGTAAGTAAACAGAGAAATCAAATGGATGAGAAATTCCTAAGGATGGGATAATCGAATAGTATGGTCTCCCTGATCAATTCAGTTGGTTAACAAATCTCAATTAAGCTATCCCAAGACAACAGGTTCAACAACAGATTAATTCACTCGCGTGATAGAAATCCTCAAGCATAGCTAGACACAGACCTAATTCCCATTAGCGATCTCTAACTAAGCAGGCAATAAGAACCGACTGTTAAAGCCAATAACCGCTCTAAACGGCCAATCCCTTGGGATAGAGACGATTATCACTGAAATTAGTAGATCCAACGTTCCATTAAACGCCTTCTGGGCGCTGGAACGTCTAGGATCGGATTCCAGTTGATCAGAAAGGAATAAGCAGTAAACACAACTAATCGAGAAGGGATTCAATAAATCTACACTTAACCAACAGATTCGACCAAGGGTTCCACAACTACTCTATCCCATCCTCAGAAATCCTAATCACTACTCAGACAACATGCTTAAAGACAATAACATAGAAACGAAAGATGAACAAGCAAATGAAAGCAAAATCTGAATAACTTAGAAGAAAAATCGAAATACAAAGTTGCAGGAATGAAAAGTGGCTGCTGAATAATAGTGCGAAATTCGTGTCTCTAAAAGTGCATGTCTCAGGGCGAAACCCTTAGAGACTTATTTATACTAAGATAAGAAAGCGGGCTTCGAGCCCACTTAATGGCCCATGGACGGCGTGATCAAGAGTGTCGGCTCAAAGTGGGTTTCCTGATGGGCTTCGAATGGGCTTTCTCTTCTCTTCTCTTTTCGATGCTCAGGTTGTCTGGTTGAGTGCGGATTGATCAGAGGGTCGAGGTGGTGGTCGAGTAGGTTGGTTGACAGAATGGTTTGGGCTGCTTCTTGGCCTCTGTGATCGAGTAAGTGTGTCAGCTGTCAGGATGGACTGGTTCTTCTCCTCTGCGATCGAGTATAACTGGTGGACTGGCAAAGTGGACTGCCTGGTCGCCTCTACGATAGAGTAGAATTGAGAATGGACTGCCTCCTCTCCTCTGCGGTCGAGTAGAAGGGTCTGGATGGACTGCTGAGCTAACAGCTTCCCTCTCTGCTACTAGTGATCGAGTATGTTTGGTGGAAGTGTGACTTTCTGTTATGTTTTCCCTCTTTGTGAGCACCAATAGCTCCAAAACAATTCCTAAATGCAGAATGTATGCAAGACTAGTCCTAGACTCGACTAAAGATGCAAAATGTACAAAAATTATGGTGAATGCTATGAAAGACGGATGAAACTAGACTCAAAATGGTGATAAAAGGATGTGTAAAACATGCAAATTATAGACATATCAGATTGTTTAAGTAATGTTGTTTAGCCTGTTTAGATCTACATTTTGGTATAATTTTAGTAATTTTTGGGTTTGTGTTCTTGAGAATGTTACATGAGTAGTGATTAGGGTTCTTAAACCCTGCTCTGCTATGTTTCATCAACGAGAGTTGAGATTAGGAAGTGGTGGAGTTATGGGGGTCTCTGTCACGAGAGTGGATTGACCAGGTTTTTGAATCTATCGTCATGGGTATCTACCTTTAGCCTATTAGCCATCAGATGAACCCTAGAGTTGCCCTTATCAATGAATCCATCATTAAAACTTCTATTAGATTTATTTGTATCCCCTTTTGGATTGCACTTTTATTTACCTGTTATTTGTATCCTCTATTTGCATCCCCTGTTGACTGCATTTTAGTTCTTAATTTTGTCACTTGTTGGTTCTACTCGACCCAATGATCGAGTAGAGCTCTTGAGTTCTCATTTTTACTTGTTTGAATCCTGACCTAGGATTGTTACTAGAAACCCACCATCATTATAATCTGACTTGACTTAGTTGTTTCTGTACACATCTTGATTGATAGCAATACAGTGGACTGGATTGACACCCCCTATAGCTGCATCGACATGTTTGTGTTTTAGGGGAATTGAACTGAATCACACATTCAACATAAGTAGGCCTGAAAAACTTGCTTATCAATTTGGCGCCGTTGCCAATTCATTGTTGCATTGTTACATTCAAGATATCATAAACTTTTAAGATCAAGTTCTTTTACATTTTTCAAGTTACTAACTCATCATTTCGTCTGCTTATTTTTGTGGTATAGGTACTAATCTTTGTGCATGGAAACTCGATCCAAAGGTTCTGCACACCTATTACCATTCAGAGACAGAATTGACAGAATAGCTCGTGAGTTACAAGAAATCAAAGCAAAGGCAACCTGTGATCAACACAGACCAGCTGCTATGGATAAAAAGAACAGACCAGTTGATGTTCAAGACCCACCTAATGTTGATCAACCAAGAAACATTGGTGCTGGTAATGCCCCAAGGAATCATCACCAAAGACAAGGGATAGTGCCACCACCAGTTCAGAAAAACAACTTTGAGATCAAGAGTGGTCTCATCTCAATGATCCAAGGAAACAAGTTTCATGGTCTACCTATCAAAGACCCTTGGACCATCTTGACAGCTTTGATAGGCTCTATGGCCTTACCAAGATCAATGGTGTCACTCAAGATATGTTTAAGCTCAGACTATTTCCCTTCTCTTTGGGAGACAAGGCACACCACAGGGAGAAAACTCTACCCCCAGACTCCATCACCTCATGGGACGATTGTAAGAAAGCTTTTCTTGCCAAGTTCTTCTCTAACGCTCGCACCGCTAGATTGAGGAACGGGATCTCAGGTTTCAACCAGTAAAACAATGAAATTTTCTGTGAAGCTTGGGAGAGGATTAAAAGTTACATCACTCAGTGCCTCCATTACGGTTTCAAGAAGGCTTAATTATTGAGCACACTCTACAGAGGAGCTTTACCAAAGATCAGAATGCTACTTGACACTGCCTCCAATGGAAACTTCCTGAACAAGGATGTAGCAGAAGGCTGGGAGTTGGTCGAAAATCTAGCACAATCTGATGGGTGCTACAATAAAGACTATGATCGCTCAATGAGAGGAACTGGAGGCAGTGAGGATAAACAGAGCAAGGATATCAAGGCTCTGAATGAAAAGTTAGACAAGCTGTTGCTGGCTCAGCAAAAGCAAATACACTACATCACTGATGAAGAGCACTTCCAAATGCAAGAGGGGGGGAATGATCAAACTGAAGAGCTGTGCTACATCCAGAACCAAGGAGGGTTCAACAAGGGATACAACAACTACAAGCCCAACCCAAACCTCTCCTACAGAAGCACTAATGTAGCTAACCCCCAACATCAAGTGTATCCACCTCAACAAAATCAATCCAAGCCTTTTGTTTAATACAACCAAGGTTATGTCCCTAAACAACAGTTCAATGGAGGCTACCAACATCAGAATCCACCACCAGGGTTCACAACAACCACAGCAAGCCCCAGCAGCTCAAGATCCTGAAATTAAGCAACTCATTCAACATATCATCCACAGACAAGCTACTGGAGCCATGGCTTTTGACAAGAAGATAGCTGAATTACACAACAAGATCGATTGTTCTTACAACGATCTGAATGTCAAGTTCGAAGCTCTGAATTCAAAAATCAAGTATGTGGAGAGTCAATTTGCATCAACCTCTGCTCTGAAGCATCTTCAACAACTTCCAGGGAAAGCAGTCCAAAATTCTAAGGACTACGCTACTGCAAATGCTATCACAATCCACCAAGAAGATGCATCTCCACCACGTCATCATATTCTCAATACTGAGGACAATATGGTTCAAGAAGGGGGGGATTAAACTCAAATTGCTGCACCTGCCACCCAACAATTCATCTAGACCATAGAGCACACACTTTTGCTGAATACTCAACATTCTGGAAAAAGGTTCAAAATAGAAAAGCTCACGAAGAATCAGAATCAAGATATGATTAGCAGTGCCACCACCCAAGAAACTTACAAGAAGAAAGTCAGCCAAGAAAAGCTTGATGATCCCGGATCATTCACTCTGCCATGCTCTCTAGGACCATTGACATTAAATAGGTGCCTTTGTGATTTGGGAGCATCTGTTAGCCTTATGCCTCTCTCTACAGCTAAAAGGCTAGGGATCATGGAATACAAGTTCTGAAACTTAGCTTTACTCTTAGCTGATGGCTCTGTTGCACATCCTCATGGTCTAATAGAAAATCTACCTATCAAGATTGGAAATGTTGAGATACATACAGATTTTATGGTATTGGACGTATATGAAGAAGGCAAGGATCCCCTGATCCTAAGCAGACCATTCTTAGCTTCAGCTAGAGCAGTCATAGATGTCAGGAATGGAAAAATTAATCTGAACCTTGAAAAAGGCATCAAGATGAAGTTTGACTTCAGAGAAGCTTCAGGGAAATCAAAAACAGGAGGTCAGAGTTTTGGGATTCAGAACATGGATGTTGATGAAGAAGCAGAAGCTGGAACCCCACCAATAGTTAACTATATTTCTCAACTTAGCAAGCTGAAGAGGACTTTTGACAACAACAAGAGAGCAACAGAAAGGCTAGCTCAGACTGAGGATCCTACAGAAGATGACTAGTATGAGATGAAAAAAAAAAAATAAATGGCAAAGGAGTTCACTTAGAGGAAAGAAGCCTAGAGAGCAAGTCGTTGAGTGAGGAGGAAACTCCTATTCCGACTCATTCTCCAGGAGTGCCTAGACAGCCAACCAACCCCTCTGCTGAAGAAGAACACTTGATTCTTGATTCTGTTGCTGAAGAACTCCTGGGGCTCTGGGTTGGATACAAAGCTCAAGAGGATACCATTGGGGAGCTAACTTACAAGATGGAAGGACTGAACCATGCTGATAAGAAAGAAGCTTACTTTGAAGAAAAATCAAATGAATACTCATCCTACCATATATCAAGAGAGGATGCAGAATATGATTCAAGCACTGAAAATTCAACCACTGAAGATGAGGACTTCTCTTTTCCTCTCTTCAACCTCTTTTCTGACTAAGCTCTGTAAGAGTCAAGCTTAGTGACTTAAAACATGCTCACTTGGGAGGAAGTCCCATGTCTATCCATGTATATAACTTTCTATTTTTCTTGTTATTTTTGATATTTTTGTTTAAGTGTTTCAGGTTTGTTTTAGTGACCCTAAGGGAGTCAACGGTCGAGTAAATTTAAACCAAGTCAAGAAAAATCTCAACCGTTGATCGAGTAGAATGAGAAGGAGCATTTTGAGCCATTGATTTGGATGACCAAATGAGAGGAGCATCACCGCCGTTTGATCGAGTGACTTTTTGAAATTTATTTTGGTTCGTTTGATCGAGTAAACAAAAATGAGAAGCTCTCCACCGTTGGAACAAATTTTTCGCACTTCAAGAGGATGCTCGATCCTTTACTCGAGCTCTCATTATTTGAAGACCAAGGCATAATTTCGTGACCCCACTTGCTCCCCCAACACTTCTTTACTCGATGAACAAAGCTATTACCCATACCCCTCACCATATCCAATCAACTTTTCTATCCTTTCCCAAAGAAACCAAACACCATTCTCCTCCACCCTTTAACTTCGACAAACCGTCATTGAAAATCTGTATTTCATCATCTCATTTTCGCAACTCCCTCACAAAGCTTTGAAGTCTTCATTCCAAACCCTTCCCCTAAAACGCTCCCTATCACTCTTTAAGAATCCGTTCCCCTTCACCATTACTTTACCAAAGTTACTCGATCACTCCAAAGTCTATCCTCAAGCATTCAATCAGTTTCAAGCTCCAAATTTCATCACCAAAAAAACTGATTCCCTTTTCCTTTGATACCTCTTAGAGAAGTAGTTCTTGTTCGCCTTGTTGAAGCTCACCACCAATCTCCATGGATTCAAGAAGGAAGAGTTCATCTCGGGCAAGAAAATCCTCTGTTGATAATGAGGAAGTTGAGGCATTTGACATGAGTGGCATGACTGAACGCCAAATTCGCCAACCTCGCCTTGCTCAAAGATCAAGCTTGATTCAAGGTGGAAGTTCAAGCCGCTCAACCATGCAAAGAGAAGAAGTAGCTCGAGGAAAGAGGGTCGTTGAAGCTGAAGAAGAATACCATGAAGAGGCACCCTTTGAAGAGGCGGTTCTGAGGAAGAGGTTGAGATCATCGGGGATGATACACCAACCCCTCTTGAGAAAACAACTCCGGCGGATCGCTATCTCTTCAAGTTTAACCACTCGGAGCTTGGACCTTCTCTTCTACCACTACCATGCAAGAACCGGACGTCGGTGAAGACAAGGCGCAACATCAATTTCATGCCATCTTCCTTTGCCTTGAACCAGAATATAATCAGGATCCATAGAGAATCTCCACTGTAGTTACTCATGATGAAACCTGAAAATAGATAAAACTCAAAGATGAACGTTAATACGTTAGTTCTCGCAAAAACAAAAACACAATCCAACGGTGTATACCGGTCGAGTAAACCAGTCGAGTAAACCGGTCGGTTTTGATTTTTTTTTTTTATTTGGATTGTGAGTTGTTGGTCTGAGTGATTGGTGAGCAAGAGCCGGTGTGAAGATGGTAGCACCTTGGTCGAGTGTTGAATATGAAGAGGGAAATGCGGTCGAGTGTCAGTGGTAGAGCTTCACTCTTCTTCTCTTTGATTTGGCAATCGAGAGATCTTGAAAATGGTTATGGTTAAGCGAGACTCACGGTGGTCGAGTAAAGGAGGTGATGAAGATGGTGATGAGAGATCGAGTGATTGTGAGAGGCAAGAGAGGCACAATCGAGTATGGTTGCTGAATCGAGTGAAATGGTGATGAATGAGAGATCGTGACGAGCTTTGCGTGGGGATGGGAGCAGCGGCGTTGGAAACGATGGAGAGATGAGGAGCTTGAAGGTGATAATTATTCAGCGGTCGAGTAAGTGAAGCTTGAATGGAGGAGAAAACGATTTGATTGGTTGATGGTGAAGATGGTCGAGTGGTTAAGAGCGAGAAGTGGTGAAGGCGACTTGGTGATAAAGGTCGAGTGAATAAAATGGTGAGGTCGTGTTGTTTCCTTGGAGAGAGGGAGAGGCGAAGAGAGCTGTGGTCGAGTGAAACTGAGACGAATGAGAGGTGGTGGTGGCGAAGAGTGGTCGATCAGATCGAGTGTTTGGTGAGCTTGAGAGTGAGGGTCGATGAGAGATGAGCTTGAGAGAGATGGTCGAGTACAGGTTGCGGAAAAGATGAGGTAAAAATTGTTGTGGTCGAGTGAAGAGTGACGACATTGGTGATTTGAAGAGATGGAGGTCGAGTGAAGATAAGGCTAAGGATGAGGTTTGGTTGGTTGAGAAGAGATGAGGGAGATCTCATGTCTGTTGGTTAGGAGCGTGGGAGACATAGGGTGCAGCAGTGGGTCACTCGTCTATCTTTTTGTTCTGAATCATTACTCTTTCTTCACTAGGAAAATCTCAGGAAATCCCGCAATCTTCTGTAAACTTGATAAACTCCCTGTAAGACTCTGTAGCTTCTGTTGGTCGAGTAAAATGATGATTTAAATTTTTTTTGGTTTTTAAACATCAATCATACTCGACCAAATTACTCGAGTGCAATGTCTCTAGGTGCAACATAAAATTTTCAATTCTTTGTACTTCACTCGACTGGTACACTCGATCTCCAGGCTCTCTATAGCTGAAGAGTTTTGAATTTTCACTCTATCTCAACGTTGTTTCTTTGTTCCTGAGAACCACAAACACAACTAAAACAAATCAAAAATAACAAGAAAGTAAAAATTATTTACAAGGATAATCATGGGACTTCCTCCCAAGTGAGCTTGTTTAAAGTCTCTAGCTTGACTCCTCATACTTATCAAGAAGAAAATGAATGATAGAGAGGGTCTGCGTAGTCCTCTCTTGTATCATCATCATACTCAGCGTCCTCCCTAGAGAGGTCTGCAGCAGAACACTCAATTCCCCTTTCTTCAAAATAGGCTTCTTTCTCTTCTGGAGGGTAATTTATCTCTTCAAACAATCTTGAAGTGAACTTCTTTCTCAGGATAGTGTCAATCCCGCCTTTAGGTTGAGCTTCCGTCTGCAACTGATTCAGCTTACTCTTAAGTTCCTCGATAGTGTGGGCTAACTTCTCTATACCCTTTCTCAGTCCCATACCCTTCTCTTGGGATCACTCTATAATCTTCAGAGTTTTTTTCATCTTCTGTTGACCCTTGTGGAATTTTGTTGATGTCAAACTACAACTTGATGTGCTTTCCAAGGTTGAGACTTATTTTCCCTTCCCTGACATCTATCACTGCTCCCACTGAAGCTAAGAAGGGCCTTTCCAGGATTAAGGGATCCTTATGCTCTACTTCCATATCCAGCACCACGAAGTCTGTAGGCACTTCCACTCCATTAATCATGACTCGTAGATCTTTCAGCATGCCGAAGGGTTTTCTTGAAGACCTATCCGCAAGGAACAAAGTAAGGTCACAAGGTTTGTACTGAATAAACTCTAACCTTCTTGCCACAGAGAGTGACATTAAACTGACAGAGGCTCTGAGATCGCACAGGCAATCGTTGAAGGCTAATTCCCCAATGGAACATGGTAGAGTAAAAGATCCAGGATCTTCTAACTTTTCATGAACAATCTTCTTATCAGCAGCTCGAGATGGAGAAGCATCACATTCATCATCTGAGTCGTGATACATCTTGATTCTTTCCAGTATCAAATTTCTCACATCTTTGTGAGGATCAGGAATGAGGTAGAGAACTTCCATTAGTAACATCACTGCTTCAATCTCGTCTAGTTGTTTTGCTGCAACAGACTTGTATCTCTCCATCCACGCTTTCCTGAATGTCCATGGGAGAGCACGTGAGGGTAATGGAGTAGGTTTGAATCGTTTTACCATTCTCTCGATTATGGCGGCCTGCTCTTCTGAGGTGGATTAAATGAGATGGCGAGAACCAGCAGAATGGTTGAATTCAACAACAGAGACTTTAATCTGAGTAGAAGCCTCCCCTTCTTGAACATCATTGTCCCTAAGTCAGGGACAGGTCGAGTTGGCAGCTCTCGATCATGGTAGATAGTGATGGCGTGAGTAGTTGCATACTCCTTTGGATTCTGTATTGACTTCCCAGGAAGTCCTGTAAGTTTAGGTGCAGAGGTAGATGCTAATTGGCCTACCAAGTATCTGACTTTGGTGTTCAATGCCTCCACTTTGGCATTAAGGTCATTATAGCTGTAGTCCAGCTTATGGTGCAATTCAGATAACTTCTTAGCAATTTCCATGGAGCTAGATGCTTGTCCCTATAGCAGCTGTTGTACCATCTGTTTCATTTCAGCATCAGGAGCAGCAGGACCTTAGTTTTGCTTAGGTGCAAACCCAGGTGGTGGTGGTTGCTGGTAGTTCCCCTGAAATTGCTGCTTAGGAACGAAACCTTGGTTGTAGGGAACAAAAGGTTTGTTCTGACCTTGTTGTTGTTGTGGAGGATAGACCTGATCTTGTGGATTAGCAACGTTGGTGCTGCGATAGGAGAGGTTGGGGTTGTTGGTTTTCAAGTTGTTATACCCTTTATAGCCACCTTGGTTGTTGTTGATGTAGCTGACTTCTTCCAATTGGTTACCCTCCCCATCTTGGACTTGATACTGCTCGTCATCAACAAGGAGGTGCACATGCTTCTGCTGGCTAAGAAGGATCATGTCCAGCTTGTCATTCGGCGCTTTGATCTCCTTCTTGTGTTTGTCATCAGAGTCAGCTGTGCTTCTGATGGTCCTATCGCAGTCCTCGTTGTAATTACCATCTGATTGAGCAAGGTTCTCAACCAATTCCCAGCCTTCTTTAACATCTTTGTTCTGGAAATTCCCATCACTTGCGGTATCCAGAAGCATTCTGATGCTTGGTAAAATGCCTCTATAAAGAGTGCTGAGCAGAGAGGGTTTAGTGAAGCAATGATGGGGGCATTAGTTGGTATAACCCTTGAAACGCTCTCATGCTTCACAGAAGCTTTCACCAGCCTTCTCTAAAAAGCCAGAGATCTCATTTCTGAGTCTTGCAGTTCTGGCGTTGGAGAAGAACTTTGATAGAAAAACCTTCTTGCAATCATCCGAGGTGGTGATTGAGTCTTGGGGCAGATTCTTCTCCCAGATGTGTGCGTTGTCGCCCAAGGAGAATGGAAACAAACGGAGCTTGAATCCATCTTCACTAACACCATTGATTTTTGTTAGGTTGTAGAGCCTATCGAATTCATCAAGGTGGTCGAGTGGATCCTCCATTTGTAGACCATGGAATTTGTTCCCCTGAATCATCGAGATGAGGCCACTCTTAATCTCGAAGTTGTTGTTCAGGATAGCAGGTGGTTCAATTCCTTTCCTCTGACGATGGTCCCTTGGTGCATCTCTAGCACCAATGTTGGCAGGGCCATTTTGTTGATTATGTTCGTTAGCCATTTCGACTGGTTGTTGTGGTATTAGGTTGGCTGTGTTTCTCCTTTCTCTGATTTTGCGAGCTATGCGGTCGATGTTGTCGTTGAAAAGGAAGTTCTGGTTGCCTGTTGATCTAGTTTGCATACAGTAGAGGTGTACTTGGATCAAGAAGACAACAAGAAAAACACACAGTTGGCAACCGAATTGAATATTGAAAAAGAACATGATCTAAGCAAGTCTGAAATGTCAAATTTAACAAACAAACACCCAATTGGCAACGTCGCCAAATTGAAAATAGGTTTTTAGTCAATTATCCTAAAACACCAATCATATCATTGTAGTATTTTAGGTTGTCATTCCAAATGGGTGTGATGCTAATAATCAAGATGTGATCAGAAGTCACTAAGTCAAGCCATGCAATAACAGGTTTTGGTGTGTTCTAGCAGTCCTGGGTGAACATGCATAAAACAGAAAATTAAGCAGAAAGAGTAAAACACTCGACCAACACAGCTCATTGCAGAGCAGTGGGTGAGGTCGAGTGCCTGATCGAGTAACAGACAGTAAATGAAACAAAGATACTCGACTGCACAATCTGTTGCCAAACAACTGGGTGGTCGAGTATCAGGTCGAGTAACAAGAAAGAATTACAGAAACTAAGCAACAGATGACAAGATGCAGTAAACAACAGTAGAGTAAACAATAAATTCAATAAGATAAAGAATTCCCGAGGATGGGGTAATTGAGTAGTTTCGTTTCCTCAGTTTACAGGTGATTGACATGCTCAATAAATTATCCCTAGACAACAAGGTCTTTAACCAAATCTAAGTTCCACCGCAACAGAGACCCTCAAGTTAACCTAGTCCCAGACTCAATCACCATTGACGAGAGCTAACCTAACAAATATTACGAATCAACAAGTTAAAGCCAAAACGCTCCCTGCAACCAATACCTTGGTACAAGGCCACAAATCTCTGGAATTAGTGGTTCATACATTTCATCAAACATCTTTTGGGCGCGGAAATGTCTGGGCTCAAATTCCAGTTGATCAGAAAGCAATAAGCATTAAGAACAACTAATCCAGAAGGGATCTATCAATCAAACTCAACTACCCAGCATACTGAGAATTCTAAACTACTCTAACCCATCCTCAGATACCTATGCACTACTCAGACATCATTGGAGAAAACATAAACGTTGAATGGAATGAAAACATGATAACAACAGAGTAATAGCAAGATGGTAACAAGATGAAAAACAGTAAACGAAATCAAGAACAAATACTCAATACTGAATAGATAAAGGGAAATTCGGATTACAAAAGGTCAAGCACACAGTGTCTGCGAAATAAAACTTAGATAAAAACTTGTTCACAAAAATGTAAAGTACATGCTAGTTATAGCAAAATATTCTGAAACCCTAATACTCAAAACGACGCAATATTGAGACGAATTAAGAACTGTACTCCACCCAGGTTGTCGAGTGAGAGGTCGAGTGATAAGCTGGAGTCTTCTTTTCTTCCTTGTGCTCGAGTGTCTGGTTGAGTGCGAAATGAAGAAGACTCTAAAGCTGGCAGTCGAGTATGTAGTCGAGTGATAGAGATGTTGGTACTCGGCTTGGTGGTAAAGTGATCGAGTGAAGGTGATGAATGGACCTTGTGGTAGAGTAGGGTGTCCGAGTGAAGGTGAAGTGGTGGAGGTGATGATACTCGACCAGGGGGTCGAGTGGTGACGTGAAGTGCTGAGGTATTCTACTCGACCAAGGGGTCGAGTGGTCTGTTGAAGTCGTGAAGCATCTACTCGACCAGGGGGTCGAGTGGTTTGACATGATCAGGTCCGCTTCTTCCAGTTAGCTCGTCAACAGCTCTGAATAACCTGAAATTAACACAAATATGCAACATGCATGCAAAACTATCCTAAACATGCAAAGTGATGACAAATGATGAGAAATGGTATAAAACAGTGATGATATGGTGCTAAAGTGATGACAAATGGATGCTCAAAACATGCAAAATACACACTTATCATGTATAAGAACTTGAACCGCAACCGGATCTTGAAGGCCCAAGTAGTGTTTCCTTGTTAGAAGATACAAAGCCAAAGACTCATATGAACTTCGGCTACACCATCATAACTTTGAGAAGCAAGAAGAAGCTTGGTTAGTGTTTTGGAGTCAAATATGACTTGATGTCATGTGTATGATGGAGTGTAAGAACCAGAACCGCAACCGGATATTAAAAGCCTAAGTACTGTTTGGATGGTAGAAGATACAAAGCCAATGAATCATACGAACTTCAGCTACACCATCAAAACTTTGAGAAGCAAGAAGAAGCTTAGTTAGTGTTTTAGAGTCAAATATGACTTGATGTCATGTGTATGATTGAGTATAAGAACTAGAACCACAACCGGATCTTAAAAGCCTAAGTAGTGTTTCGTTGTTAAAAGATACAACGCGAAAGACTCATGTGGCCTTTGGTTACATTATTAAAGCTTTGAGAAGCAAGAAGAAGCTTAGTTAGTGTTTTGGAGTCAAATATGACTAGATGTCATGTGTATGATTGAGTATAAAAACTAAAAGTGCAACCCGATCTTAAAAGCCTAAGTAGTGTTTTCTTGTTAGAAGATACAAAGCCGAAGACTCATACGGAATTCAGCTACACCAAAAAAGCTTTGAGAAACAAGAAGAAGCTTGGTTAGTGTTTTTAGGTCAAATATGACTTAATGTCATGTGTATGATTGAGTATAAGAACTAGAACCGCAACAAGATCTTAAAAGCCTAAGTAGTATTTCTATTTTAGAAGATACAAAGCCAAAGCCTAATACGGACTTCGGTTTCACCATTAAAGCTTTGAGAAGCAAGCAGGAGCTTGGTTAGTGTTTTGGAGTCAAATATGCCTAGATGGCATGTGTCTGTTTGAGTATAAGAACTCAAACCACAACCGGATCTTGTAAGCCCATGTACTGTTTCCTTGTTAGAAGATACAAAGCCAAATTCTCATACGGACTTAGGCTAAACTATGAAAGCTTAGAGAAGCAAGAAGAAGCTTGGTTAGGCTAACCCTAATTTTCTTACCTCTCTCGATTCAACCTTTCTCGATCTCTCTTCCAATCTCACTCACTCTCTTCGAATCCCTAAATCTCTTTCACTCTCTTCCAATCTCTCTCACTCTCTTCCAATCTCTCTGAATCTCTGTCTCGATGCCTCTAGCTAAGCGAGGAAGGAAGAGAAAAGCCGATCCAAATGTTTCACAGAGACCCGGAGCCTCTAAACCCACTACTGTGAAAAGAAACCCTTTACCTAGTCAATACAACTTCACACCCGCGGCCGAGATTCCTCCTGCTCAGTCTTCCCAAGGGCGAGTCCGAGTTCAACCCCAACAAGCAAGGTCAGCAGCTCCACGAGTCTCCGACTATCCACCTCCTCAAGTTCTTTTCCAGAACTCTGTGAATCATGATCTCCCTGCACCTCTTTCGTCACAAGAAGTCCAGAATGATGCAGCTAATCGATCGACTCCACAACATGACCCTCCAAGTTCTCCAATTCAGAACTCTCATGCCAGTCAACCATCTTCCCAAGGTAACAACTTCCAAGAACGTGTTAGTTCCATGTTACCGGAACTCCAAGCCGATAACGTAAAGGCTCTAAACGACATTCTTCAAGTGCCTGGTCGTGAGGCGTGGACAACTGTTCTTTCTCCCATACTGATGGAAAAAACAACTTGGTTAGTCATCGTTTTATCTGGTTTTCAAATATTATTTAGGAGGTTGGTCTCTAGTTTAGAATTAAGTGTGTTTGGTCTTTGATTTCTTAACGTTTAGTTGATGTGTCTGGTTTTGATGTGTGAATGTATTGATTAGAGTCCGAGTGTATTGATGTGTGTGAGTGTATTGTGAAGTGTCTAGTTTAGTTGTGTAAGTCCTAAGAGTCTGAGTGTGATGGAAATCGATGAAGTTTGTTTCTTTCTTTCCTAACATTAGCTTTGAAATTTGAGTTAAGACAGTAAATGAGAAATCGAGTGTTGGAGTAAAGATTCATTGAGTATTGAACCTATGGAACTTGTTTTGATAGGAGAATGATCGAGTGGTCGTTGATAACACTTGAGCAGTCTCCATGCTTTGATAACCTCTGGAACTTGTTTTGATAGCTTTTGTGTAAAGAGGTTCTAGTTAGGGTTTATGTTTAGCTCAGTCTCCATGCCTTTATGTGTTTCTTTCTCTTTTAGCTCATTAGCTAGCTGTGCTAAGATTTAGTGAAGTGTTTTGGTTACTTGTTATATTTTGGTTTTGATGTCTGGTTTTGATTGAAGAATTGGTTTTGATGTTTGGTTTTGATATTGTCTTGTTTCTTTCTTAACAATGTATTGATTAGAGTCCGAGTGTATTGTGTAAATGTATTGTGTAAGTGATAAGAGTGTAAGTTTATTGTGTAAGTGATAAGAGTGTAATTTTATTGTGTAAGTGTATTATTTAGTTGTGTAAGTGTCTGGTTTATTTGTGTAAGTGTCTGGTTTAGTTGTGTAAGTGTCTGGTTTAGTTGTGTAAGTGTGTTAGTGTATTGTGTAATGTGTAATATTAAGTGTCTGCTTTAGTTGTGTAAGTCATAAGAGTGTAAGTTTTTTGTGATGTGTCTGC